GTCACATTATTGCTTTGCTTGGCTATTGGAAAATCTGTGCACGATGGGTACCCAGGATGCTGATGCTGGTTGCGGAAACAGAGTGTCGACTCCTTCCATGACAACTTCAGAAAACTTGTTAATCATTGGCAGAAATGTATCCAATTGTCTGGTGGTTATGTGGAAAAGTGAATAGTGGCAGGTAAAGAACACATTCTAAGGATTATTTCTGCGTTTGATTTAGTAAAATATTCCCATCCAAACCCAAGTAACGAAGGTGGAGGCAATAATTTTCATTCAACCCTTGTAACAGCACTGAATACACACTGAGCCCCCTGCAAATGATTTAAAGCCACTTTTTTTATTATTCAACATTTTATACATAATAAATACAAAGTTTTACAGCCAATATAAAGAAAGCTCCCAAGGTCCTGCTTTCCCGTGTATTGACGCTGTATGTACATGGTGATACGTTCTATTGCATGCCCTGTATGAAGTTTAAAAAGGAGGCGCGGTTTTTTACAACTTTCTTCTCAAAATAAAAATTAGCAGCTCGTACAGAAAATAGTCTTAAAATATAACCAAGGAGAGTCTTTTTCTTCTTTAAATAACACTTTCTGAATTTGGAGAGTCTGGAGAAGGGAAGAGAGGACGGAGACAGACAAAAAGGAAAGGAGGAAAAACTGGCCAACCCAAATTGGATGCGTGGATAATAATATTGGCAACACTTAGGGGTGTGTTTTTCCCCTCCTGCACGAAGCATCTAAAAATTTTTGCAATACAGTTCGTTAAAAAATTGTTAAAAAAACTTAATAATAAGTTTGATTTTTAAAAAAGGACCTTAAACAGATCGACCGAACAGAAGGTGCGACCCCCCCCCCCCTTTCCCCACAAGAGACTCTTCTTTGCAGAGATCTGCCGGAGATTTGGCAACTGCTGCAGACGATGCCAGGACGCTTCCAAGAGCCTTATCCTTTCCCAAAACAATGGAAAGGAAGAAGTAGTAGAGAGAGAAAAAGGAAATTGGCAAAAAACCAAACAGTCGCATTTCCCAGAGTCTATTTGTGCAAAGTTTCAGATGAAAAGCCTCGTCGGACGACGTTTCCGCCAAACGCGGTTGCGGAATTCAAAAGAGGAAAGGTGTTGTCGTCCTTTGGGCAGCAAGATGGGAGGAATAACAGTTGGTACGCTCTACCCACACGAAGGAAGGAAAGGAAAGGAACATACGAGGGCTCTTCTAGTATTACTTAACAGTTGAGCTCGAAATATAATTCGTAATTCCAGCCCTTTGGCTGTGAACTCTTTGAGGTGGGATTTGGTTTGTCAAAGGCATTCATGGCCGGAATCAGTGGATTGCTGTGAGTTTTCTGGGTTGTCTGGCCATGTTCCAGAAGCATTCTCTCCTGACGTTTCACCTCCATCTATGGCAGCCATCCTCAGAGGTTGTGAGGTCTGTTAGAAACTAGGCAAGTGAGGTTTATATATCTGTGGAATAATATCCAGGGTGGGAGAAAGAACTCTGGTATGTTGGAGGCAAGTCGTGTCAGGAGTGACTTGAGAAACTGCAAGTCGCTTCTGGTGTGAGAGAATTGGCTGTCTGCAAGGACGTTGCCCAGGGGACGCCCGGATGATTTGACGTTTTATTATCCTTGTGGGAGGCTTCTCTCATGTCCCCGCATGAGGAGCTGGAGCTGATAGAGGAAGCTCATCTGCCTCTCCCCGGATTCGAACCTGCGACCTGTCGGTCTTCAGTCCTGCCGGCACAGGGGTTTAACCCGCTGCGCCACTGGGGGCTACTTGGAGGCAAATGTGAATGTTGCAATTGGCCACCTTGATGAGCATAAAATCATAACAGTAAATGAAGAACAACACTCAAAAATGGGAATTCCAGACAAGAAACAATCAGGGCCAACTTATCACCTCCCAACAAAGGATTCCCCCGGGCAGCAAGAAACCAGACTTTGCAAACTGCTAGACCATTCAGTGCTAGTCAAGGTGGCCAATGTAGCACCCTCTCCCAAAGCAGTTACTTTACTCTGAACTCAAGAATGGGAAATTCGAAGAGGCACGAACGGAGGGTGAAAGGGAGAAATGTGCAACGAGGAAGGCACATCAAGCCAACCCTGAGCGGGACTGCCTTCTGTCTGGAATGGGAAATGTAATGTTGGTGCACAGGAAAAGAGATTTAAAGATATTCTTAAAGCCAACCTTAAAAACTGTGGCATAGACACCAAGAAGTGGGGAGCCCTGGCCCTTGAGTGCTCTAACTGGAAGTCAGCTGTGACCAGCAGTGCTGCAAACTTTGAAGATGCACGAATGGAGGGCGAAAGGGAGAAATGTGCCACGAGGAAGGCATGTCAAGCCAACCTTGAGCGGGACCGCCTTCCGTCTGGAATGGGAAATGTAATGTTGGTGGACAGGAAAAGAGATTTAAAGATGGGCTCAAAGTCAACCTTAAAAGCTGTGGCATAGACACCAAGAATTGGGAAGCCCTGGCCCTTGGCTGCTCTTACTGGAGGTCGGCTGTGACCAACAGTGCTGCAGAATTCGAAGAGGCGCGAATGAAGAGCAAAAGGGAGAAATGTGCCAAGAGGAAGGCCCGTCAAGCCAACCCTGAGTGGGACCGCCTTCCGTCTGGAAACTGATGTCCTCACTGCGGGAGAAGATGCGGATCGAGAAAAGGTCTCCACAGCCACCTATGGTTCAAATCTGGGGAGTGGGGTGAGCTCCTGCTGTTAACCCCAGCTTCTGCCAACCTAGCAGTTCCAAAACATACAAATGTGAGTAGATCAATAGGTAAGGTAACAGTGTTCCATGCAGTCATGCTTGCAACATGACCTTAGAGGTGTCTATGGACACCACATCTGGAAGACAATCATCCTCGAGCTATGAGGCATTGCCTAAATAAGTAAGAATGTAGTAATTGGCCACCTTGATTTTTTAAATCATTTTATGTACATGCGGCCCTGCTCACTGTCATTATGTTTGGATTACTGGGTTTTTTTTAACCGTTTTGTGTATATTGTTTATTGTATTTATATGTTTTGTACCTTCCTGCGATGTTGTTTATTTTATTGTAATTTGTATTTTATTTTATTGTAATTTGTTGTTTGGGCTTGGCCTCATGTAAGCTGCCCCGAGTCCCCGTTGGGGGAGATGGTGGCAGGGTACAAATAAAGATGATGACGACGATTATTGATTAGCATTGCATGGCCTAGTCTTTTGCAAAGTCTGGTTTCTTACCGCCTGGGGGAATCCTTTGTTGGGAGCCGATTAGTTGGCCCTGATTGTTTATTGTCTGGAATTCCCATTTTTGAGTGTTGTTCTTCATTTACTGCCTAGTAGTTTGCAAAGTCTAGTTTCTTACTGCTTGGGGGAATCCTTTGTTGGGAGGTGATTAGTTGGCCCTGATTGTTTATTGTCTGGAATTCCCATTTTTTAGTGTTTTTCATTTACTGTTATGATTTTATGCTAAATTGCAACATCCACACTTGCCTCAAACATACAAGAGTTCTTTCTCCCATCCTGGACATCATTCCACATTTACCTACTTTCCAAGAGACCTCATAACCTCTGAGGATGCCTGCTATAGATATGGGTGAAACGTCAGGAGAGAATGCTTCTGGAAAATGGCCAGACAGCCCATAAAACACACAACCACCCAACTTAGTTTACACTTTGCCCCTTGCCTCCTTCTCGGAGACCACTGAATCAGAAACTCAATGTCTTTTCCCCTTTCTGTGCTCACTTTGCCTCCTCATCACTTCCCATGAATCGATTCTTCCATCAAAGTCAGAGAAAACAGCTTCCCATTTCCTTTCCCAAACACAGACAATTCCTTGTATCCACCCTAAATAAACTGATTGCTAAGAGCTGCAAGGGCACCGGGATTTTGGAGCCTGATTTCAAGCTGGAAGCCCTCCCTTCGGTCCAGAATATCCGAGGATAGGATGGACCTACTGCTCTCAACACCTTATGTGTATCATCAACATCGCCATCATATCTTTTGACCCAAATCTCTTCCAAATACATCTGTACATAGAATCATTGAGTTGGAAGAGACCTCGAAGGCCATCCATTCCAACCCCATTCTGCCAAGAAGCAGGAAAATCGCATTCAAAGCACTCCCCGACAGCCTCTGTTTCAAAGCCTCCAAAGAAGGAGCCTCCACCACACTCTGAGGCAGAGAGTTCCACTGCTGAACAGCTCTCACAGTCAGGAAGTTCTTCCTCATGTTCAGGTGGAATCCCCTTTCCAAAAAAGCAAAATGAACGAAAGAAATGCCCCCGTCACCTCTGCCGAAACTCTCCCGTGTGCGGAAAACCCTACTACGTTCCACTTCTCTGGGTCTGAGCTGGCCCTAGAGGCTCTTGCGTGGAGACTTCTGCTAGGACTATCCGACGCTAAAGCTAGACACCACACGTTCGTACTCTAAACATTAAAACTTATTTTAAAATACTCTAGCTGGATGTTCCAGGGCTCAAGATACACCATCAACGTCCGAGAGTAAACTATACAGCCATAACTGGGAGAAGGAGTGAACCAAATACCAAAAAATAATAATTAAGGGGGGGATTTTTGATGGGGAAAAAAAGGAAACCAACGGCTATTACCAGCTGTACAATGAAAATCCTGCTTATTCAGTTTTATCCTAAGGAAAAATTGAGCCCCCAGTGGTGCAATTGCTGAGTTCTTGAACTTGCTGACCGAAAGATCGGCGGTTCAAATCTGGGGAGTGGGGTGAGCTCCTGCTGTTAGCCCCAGCTTCTGCCAACCTAGCAGTTTGAAAAAAATGCAAATGTGAGTCGATCAATAGGTACCACTCTGGCAGGAAGGTAACAGCGCCCCATGCGGTCATGCTCGCCACGTGACCTTGGAGGTGTCTATGGACAACGCCGGCTCTTCGGCTTAGAGCACCAACGCCCAGAGTTGGACACGACTGGACTTAATGTCAGGGGGAAACTTTTACTTTTACCTACCTAAGGAGTAAAAAACCATGTTGTTGCGACTAAGGTCAGCACTTCTGTAGTAGATAACTTTATTACTAAACGCACCGCATAAATATCAATACAAAAGGAACGTCCGCGTTCGGGTTTTCCTGGTACTTTTGGAAGGAAAAGGTGCACGTCGAAGGAATCGGCCCCGTACGAGCCGCGGAGCTTTTCCCTCCATCGTGGAACCATTTCCCGCCCGTTGAGGGCAGACGGAGGAAGGCGGAAAGAGAGAGGGACGGAGAGGAGCCAGCCTCTCCGGACATTTACACTTGGGTGTTCCCTTCTCTATTCCATACATTCTGATTACGAACCTAATCAGATTAAGTAACGCTACTTGAATGGGAAAAGGAAAGAAAGAAAAAACTTGAAACACATTCCTATGGCAAACAGTAATATACTGTACTAATGCACATGGTATACGTATGCTATGACTTCAGGCCGGTCTACACGCTGGCTCTCCCCGTACAAAAACGTGACGGCTTGCCTTTTATTGCCGCCAAGTTCAGCGCCACCAAAAAGCGGCAAGGACACGCTTCGTGCCATTTGTTGGGAGACACTTCGAGGACGTAGCCGTGGCCTCTTTGCGGACTGGCCCTTTAAGTGGCCCACGGAAGAGGGGACTCTCCAGAGCCTCCCCCACATTCAGCTGCAAAGGCATTTATATTCCTCTGTTTCGGCTTTTGTGCTCAAAGGAGGAAGGGCGGCAGAGATATAAAGTGAAACCAAAGGACAGCGACAAATTAAAAAAAGGCACAAAAGAGTCATGAGGATGGGAAGAAGAGTCTGCCACTGTGCGTCCCCATGTCTCTGGGAAATCCTCCCGCTTCCCCCGGATCGATCTTTCGCAAGTCACTTCCATCATCCAAAAGGTGCCTAAGAAGAGGAGGACCAAACATGGACAATATCCGGTCTTGATTGTAGCACTACGAGGCACAGCGTCCCGTTGGGTCACACCAAAGTGATTTCCACGTCCTCGATCTTCTCTGTGGGTCTGCGGTGCGGCTGGGTTGGAGGAGGAGGGGCGGCCCGGACCTGGAAGAAACACAAAGCGAGTAGTCACGTACGCAAAATTAGCTTCTCCAGTTTCATCCCTTTCTTGCATGCGCCCTACACCACTGGAGAAATTACACTGTTGAGCTGGTATTGCACCACCTGACATCCGCCCGGAAGTAGCAGCGAATAGTGAAAGGACCAAGACAGAGACATCTCCAGCTCATCCCCTGTTTGGGTATCAGCCAGCACGTCAACGACTCAAATCAAGAAATAGTTTTCTAAGATCTACAGAGACACTCGCTTGAACACCCCAGCAAGCGAGAGTCCAAAAGTGGCAGGCTCAAACCCAGAACCCCAAGCAATGGCTGGTAACAAATGAGAGACTCCCCCCTGGGCACACAGAGGACTGGGCGACTTGGAAGGTGCTGAACATACTGCGTTCTGGCACCACGAGATGCAGAGCCAACCTCAAGAAATGGGGCCACAAAGTGGAATCCATGACATGCGAGTGTGGAGAAGAGCTAACCACTGACCACCTGCTGCAATGCACCCTGAGCCCTGCCACATGCACAATGGAGGACCATCTTGCAGCAACACCAGAGGCACTCCAAGTGGTCAGATACTGGTCAAAGGACATTTAATCAACTATCAAACTTGCAAATTTTGTGTTTTGTCTGTTTGTTTGTTTTGTTCTGTTAGAAATATAATATAATTGACTGGTTGCCCTGACACGACAAATAAAATAAAATCCCTTTCTTTCGTTCCTTTGGAGAGTTGTAGCTTAGCCAGCTGAGGATGATGCTGAGGGGTTTTGAGGTGCAGGGCCTGCAAGGCCTGATGCTTCTAGAGATGCTCAGACAGAGGTGACGTTAGAACAGGATGGTGTTTCCCCGGTTGGGAGAATGGAGGGGGTCTTGGGTGATTCTCTGTGTGAAAATGAAACTGTTTTGCAAGCTAACAGGCAGAGAAGGGAGGAATGGAGGCTAGATAGAGAATCATGGCTGCTTCTGTGGGGAAAGGATTCCAGGTACAAGCCTGGCTTTGGGAAAATGAGACCAAGAGAAACTACCCAAGGCCAAAGGAATGATTCTCTGTGTGAAAACGAAACTGTTTTGCAGGCTGACAGGCAGAGAAGGGAGGAAGGCAGGCTAGATAGAGAATCAAGGCTGCTTCTGTGGAGGAAGGATTCCAGGTGCAAGCCTGGCTTTGGGAAAGTGAGACCGAGAGAAACTACCCAAGGCCAAAGGAATGATTCTCTGTGTGAAAATGAAATTGTTTTGCTAGCTGACAGGCAGAGAAGGGAGGAAAGGAGGCTAGACAGAGAATCAAGGCTGCTTCTGCGGGAAAAAGAGAAACTACCCAAGGCCAAAGGAGTGCTTTCATGCACTGTTGTCCTCCATTAGGGAAAGAATAGTTTTTGATTCTTAGATCAAGCAACGTAGCCAAAAGAGAAAGGAACTCCTGCCTTGGTTCTCGCTTCAAGCCATATCCTGGTCAAGTTTTGCTTTAAGTCTTGGGGATTTTACCATGAACTCATGGTAAAATGGAACTCAAGCTCATGTATTGTTCATGATTCTTGGATTAGTCAAGTTGATGTTTTATTCTTTGTTTTTTGGATTATTCAAGCTCATGATTATACCCTGTTCCTTGGATTGATGTTCTTGTTTTGACCTTTGCACTGGAGATTTATCTCTGGCTTTTGGGACTCTTTATCTTACCTTTTGGATCTTTTTTTTACTCTTTTACTGTGTGTGCTTTTTCAATAAACTGTTTATTCCTACGTTTGGCTTCCTGGTGAGTGCTTGTTAACCGCTTTGAGTCGCCCAAGGACTGAGAAAAGCGGTATATAAGTGAAGTAAATAAATAAATAAAGCAAATAAATAAACCCTAGCTGAGGTGCAACACGGAAGCACAAAACGGAAAGGTCCCTCCAGGTATGAAAACAAACTCAAAACGAAAGCAGGTGGGAGCGGGTACTGGCTCCAAGCTTCCTTTTCGGCATCATAGTTATAGAGGAGAGGATTGAGTTTAGAGAAACCTACTTGGCTGCAGGCCCTGGCAGGCCTGTGGAACAAAGCTACTGGCAAATGTGATGGAGGGCCTACTATACTTCTAATTCAGTTTGTATCTCGCCCTGGAGCATTGAATCTGCAGCAGAAGGACAATTCTGAGATCTTGTGTCTGCATGGGAAACTTACAGGTCTCAATTTGCCATACGAGGTGCTTTCAGGAAGAGGTCGCGGTGGCTGGGAGAATCCGGGAGAGTTTGAAGTGAAGCTGTTTTCTGAAACAATGGAAAAACAAACCACCGTATACTTCAGGATGAAAATAGCTATATACATTGATCATAAAGAGCAACCGAGTGCCCATGAGCTTGATGGAAGCTGAGCAGGAGATTTAGAGGCGAAGTGAGGAAACCTTTATGGCTAATATCTTGTTTTCCCATAAATAAAACCCTAGCATGATTTTTCAGGGTGCCCACAATTAATCCGTCCCCCATCCCCTGACCAAACAAGCCCCAGTTCATTAGCCAAACAGACACATTTACCAGTAGTACGGTACAACCTTTGTAACACATGATGGACGTATTGTATTACAAATTAATAACATTAATATATAATTAAATATAAATAAATAATATTATTGACATTAATACTTACCGTATATACTTGGGTGAATAACTCAGGACTATGTCTGTTCTTGTTTTATTGTATTTTAAAGTTAATTGTATTGTTTTAATCTACTGCTGTAAACCGCTCCAAGCCAAATTGGGAGTAGAGGTATACAAGTCAAATAAATAAATAAATATATAAGCAGAGTTTTTAAGCCCTTTTTAGGCTGAAAAAACCGTCCTCGGCCTATACTCAAGTCAAAGTTATTTATTATTTTACTTTATTATTTTTTATTACATTTAATATTTTACTCTATTATTATTATTACATTTATTATTTTACTCTTTGTTATTCTTATTACATTCATTATTTTACTCTATTTATTACTATTGCATTTATTATTTTACTCTGTTATTGCTGTTACTATTAGATTTCCATTATTTTACTATATTATTATTATTATTACATTTATTATTTTACTTTATTATTATTACATTTATTATTGTACTCTATTTTTATTATTATAATTATTATTTTACTCTCTTTATTATTATTACATTCATTACTTTATTATTATTACTATATTCATTATTTTACTCTATTACTATTGCATTTATTATTTTACTCTGTTATTACTGTTACTATTACAATTCCATTATTTTACTATATTATTATTATTACATTTATTATTTTGCTCTCTTTATTAGTGTAATTACATTTATTATTTTACTTTATTATTATTACATTTATTATTGTACTCTTATTTATTTTTATTATTACAATTATTATTTTACTCTATTCTTATTACATTCATTACTTTATTATTATTACTATATTTATTATTTTACTCTATTTATTACTATTGCATTTATTATTTTACTCTGTTATTACTGTTACTATTACAGTTCCATTATTTTACTATATTATTATTATTACGTTTATTATTTTGCTCTCTTTATTATTGTAATTACATTTATTATTTTACTTTATTATTATTACATTTATTGTTGTACTCTATTTATTTTTATTATTGCAATTATTATTTTACTCTATTATTATTGGAAGGGTACATTTACATTGAAGAAGGTTAGAATAATGATTTAATCAGAGTTGAACAGTTTTATCTTAAGTTACAGTCTTATGTAAATATTCAAAAACATTTAACCTCCTGATACATCAAATAATGGGTGTGTGTATATGTGTGTGCATGTGTGTGTGTGTGTGTGTATATATATATATATATATATGCCAGTAGCTGCTGCATTTCCCACCCCAGATTATACTCAAATCAATATGTTTTCCCAGTTTTTTGTATTCAAATTTGGTGCCTCAGCTTATATTTGGGTTGTCTTATACTTGAGTATATACAGTAATACCTTTGGACAAGAGGTATGCGTATGTAAACAGATGAACCCAATACTTATTGCCAGATGATTAATCCCGATACTTATTGCTGGTCAATCAATCAGAGTACAGACACATATAACATGCACACTTGATAACAAATGGATGTGGTTGTACATGAAAAAAAAAAGACATCCCCTGAAAATAAGTCCTACTGCAGCTTTTGGAGCAAAAATTAATATACAAGACCCAGTCTTATTTTTGGGGAAATACGATATTATTATTATATTTATTATTTTGTTTAAACCAGGAGATCTAGGCAGCTGCTTGCTACATTTCTAGCTGAATTTGCCTTTTCTTGAGGATATATACAGTTAAAATGTCATTGTCTTCCTACCATGTGTTGATGGAGATCTTGGGAAGTACTGGGAGCCTCTCTTGTCAGGACTATGGAAAGGGCTGGTGGGCGGCTGGTCATACAGCGGCAGGGGAGCCAGGGAATTCTGGGGCTTGGGAGATGGAGATACCTGCAAGGAAGGAGAGAAAATGATGGGAATTACACTCTCCGGCAAAAGGAACCAAATCGTAAAAGCCAAGCTATGTCGACAGAAAACTTTATTTTCAAGGGCATCGAATAGCTGTGTGTTCTGTTCATAAAAATTTCCATAATCTGGACCAACCTGTCCAAGGATTGGAAGTGAGGCACCAGAAAGGAGTCAGATAAACATCTTGCAAACTTAGGGATGGGAATAGCATGTCCATTCCAATGACACTGGGCTCCCAGCCTTGTTCAGCACAGACGATGGTGAAGAAAACAGAGATTTGTAGTTCAATAACATTTGGAGGGGTTGTTGTAGGTTTTTTCGGGCTATATGGCCATGGTCTAGAGGCATTCTCTCCTGACGTTTCACCTGCATCTATGGCAAGCATCCTCAGAGGTAGTGAGGTCTTTTGGAACTAGGAAAAAAAGGGTTTGTATATCTGTGCAATGACCAGGGTGAGACAAAGGACTCTTGTCTGCTGGAGCTAGGTGTGAAGGTTTCAACTAACCACCCTGATTAGCATTTGATGGCCTGGCAGTGCCTAGAGCAAACTTTTGTTGAGAGGTGATTAGATGTCCTTGTTTGTTTTCCTTCTACTGTTTTGCTGTTGTAATTTTAGAGTTTTTTTTAATACTGGTAGCCAGATTTTGTTCATTTTCATGGTTTCCTCCTTTCTGTTGAAATTGTCTGCATGCTTCTGGATTTCAATGGCTTCTCTGTGTAGTCTGACATGGTGGTTGTGAGAGTGGTCCAGCATTTCTGTGTTCTCAAATAATATGCTGTGTCCAGGTTGGTTCATCAGGTGCTCTGCTATGGCTGACTTCTCTGGTTGAAGTAGTCTGCAGTGCCTTTCATGTTCCTTTATTCGTGTTTGGGCAATGCTGCTGCGTTTGGTGGTCCCTATGTAGACTTGTCCACAGCTGCATGGTATATGGTAGACTCCTGCAGAAGCGAGAGGATCCCTCTTGTCCTTTGCTGAACGGAGCATTTGTTGGATTTTCTTGGTGGGTCTGGATAGTTTGTATGTTGTGTTTCCTCATCAGCTTCCCTCTGCGGTCAGTGGTTCCCTTGATGTATGGCAGGAACACTTTTCCTCTGGGTGGATCTTCGTCTTGACTCTCGTGGCTTGTTCTTGGTCTTGCAGCTCTTCTGATGTCTGAGGTGGAGTCTCCATTGACCTGGAGAGCCCAGTTGAGGTGGTTCAGTTCATCTTGGAGGAGGTGGGGTTCGCAGATTCTTTTTGCACGGTCTGCCAAGGCTTTAATGGTGCTTCTTTTTTGACTTGGGTGATGGTTGGAGTTTTTATGTAGATATCTATCTGTGTGTGTGGGTTTTCTGTAGACGGTGTGACCCAATTGTTGATCTGGTTTGCGGATGACTAGGACATCTAGAAAAGGCAGTCTTCCTTCATTTTCTTTTTCCATGGTGAACTGGATGTTTGGGTGGATGCTGTTAAGATGATCCAGGAACCTGTTGAGTTCTTCTTCTCCATGGCTCCAAATGGTGAAAGTGTCATCCACATATCTGAACCATATCGTGGGCTTTTTTGTTGCTGTTTCCAGGGCTTGTTTTTCAAAGTGTTCCATGCAGAAATTAGCTATTAGCACACTTTCTCATTACTTTATTTCCAAGATCATCAGACTGGGCCACAGCAACACATGGCTGGGGAGGGCTAGTAGAATTATAGAATCCTGGAGTTGGAAGATATGTCGTGGTCCATCCAGTCCAACTTCTTTCTGCCAAGAAGCAGGAAAATCACATTCAAAGCACCCCCGACAGATGGCAATCCAGCCTCTGTTTAAAAACCTCCAAAGAAGGAGCTTCCACCACACTCCGTGGCAGAGAGTTCCACTGCTGAACAGCTCTCACAGTCAGGAAGTTCTTCCTAATGTTCAGATGAAATCTCCTTTCTTGTAGCTTTCTTGTAGTTTGATCAGCCAAAGCTAAGCCAAGGGGTCACAAACTGATCAGGCCAAAGGAGTGTCCATCCTTGCATGTTTGCAAGGCAGGAAGTAGCAACCAAGTATGAGTTAGAGGATACATCTGGTCAGAAATGCACCTCAAGCCGGACAGGGACAACGTGGATACAATGGCTGTGAACCCAAAGGCATCCTTGCCCAAAAATTCACTTAAATGGCTACAGCTTATACTGCCAAACACAAATAACCCCCCATATACTACCCTTTGCTCATTTCAGAGAAGAAAGGAAGGCAAAAAGGGGGAAGGAATCTTTTGTTTGTTAACTGAAAACAAGGAAGCCCTCTCAACAATAAAATCCCCACCACGACCACCAAAAACAGCCTGTTTTTCCAGAAGTGGAACTATAAGACGCCCTGACTCTCTTCATGCCAAGCTCTGTTTGATCTCACAATGCTCTACTCAGAGATTAATTGCAGGAAGGAGACCGGGAATTTCCTCTCTCTGCTTCTATTTCCGTTTTGCCCCTCACCACTCCTTTCATTCTTTGGACCAACTATTGTTAACCAATGCGGACGTTCAAAACGTGATTAATATTAAATTGGCTCAACCTAAACAAATTTAATCAGAGTGTTCCAAATTCTCCCGTTTTAACTTTTTGGGCATTTGAAGCCTCCGTCAGAAACAGCCACTGTCTTGACAAGATGTGAACAGGATGCAGCTCTCTGAACCAAACTACATCCATTATTGGGTTGCTGTGTGTTTTCTGGGCTATATGGCCATATTTCAGAAGCATTCTCTCCTGATGTTTCACCCACATCTATGGCAGGCATCCTCAGAGGTTGTGAGGTCTGTTGGAAACTGAGCAAGTGGGGTATATATATGTCCAGGGTGGGAGAAAAATCTCTTGTCTGTTGGAGGCAAGTGTGAATGTTGCAACTGGGCATCTTGATTAGCATTCAATGGTCTTGCAGCTTCAATGCTTGGCCGATTGCTGCCTGGGGGAGTCCTTTGCTGGCACTGATGGATTCTTGTCTGGAATTCCACTGCTTTTTGTGTGTTGCTCTTTATTTATTGTCCTGATTTTAGAGGTTTTTAAAAATATTCTTAGCCAGATTTTGTGCATTTACATGGTTTCCTCCTTTCTGTTTAATTTGTCCACATGCTTGTGGATTTCAATGGTTTCTCTGTGTAGAAATCACCTAAATTGGGCATTACAGGCCAATGGAGACTCCACCACAGACATCAGAAGAGCTGGATTCCCCCTGGCAGGAAGCAGCCAAGCTTTGAAGCTGCAAGGCCATTCAATACTAATCTTGGTGGCCATTTGCAACATTCACACTAGTAAGACATCCTTTGGGCAACATCCTTGCAGACAGCCAGTTCTCTCACACCAGAAGCGACTTGCAGTTTCTAGAACATGGCCATACAGCCCAAAAAACTCACAACAACCCAATGTACGACATTCCCTCTTCTGATATGCAGAAAACATGTAGATAGTCTTCCCTTATATATTTGCACACTACCTAACAGAGGTGGAGCTAAGGGTTGTGGCACTGCTCACGTGAAGAGAAAAACTGCTTCTTCTGTGTGCAAAAAGGACTTAAATGAGATGAAGAACAGCAAATGGTTTAAGAGTCAAATGCAAACTTATCAGAGAGCGTTGCTAAATCTGGCCGCCTGCCTGGAGAGTTCAAGGCAATCCTGGAAAGGCTGTTCATTCATCATCCAGGTAGGGCTAGCAGCAGGTGTGCCATTGTGACCACCTGAAGGGAAAGCTGTTCCTGCAGCAGCAGCAACTGGTTTGCATCTGGATTTGGTTCCATAACAATTCCTTGGGAGGGGAATGATCTATTTTCATTCCTGAGTAAGCTTGAAATATGGTGGTCTTTGCAAGCAAAAGGTGTGTGCAGACTCCACCGTGCTGTTCTTTTGTGTGCGCATGCCTTCGAGTTGCATGCCATTAATATCATTGACTCGTTTCAACCCTTGTGGCCAAAACTCCTCCCATACCTGAACATTTGCAATGCACCGAGACTCTCCGTTTTCCGAGGCCGTGAGCTCTTCTACCAGCACAGATGGGAAGACCCCGATGTGCCCGTTGAATTCCCCTTCCCAGAAACCGTCGTCATCCTGGTTCTCCTTATTCAAGATGCGGATTATTGCTCCCTCTGGGAAGGAAAGCTCGTCGTCGGTCTGCCCCTCGTAATCATAAAGTGCTTTGACAAAACATACTAGGAAAAGAAAGGGGAAATGTCACAACATGGGATTCTGGAAATGAATCTGAAACATATCAGGACCTGGGGATGCTTTCTACATTATGTCTTCAAACATGCCTTCCCACTTCTTGGTCACCTGAGATGGTTGGCAACCCATCTATGACTTGCACAGGTCATTTTGAGCATAATGAATTCTGCACACAAATCTAAACAAACACAATAATAATAATAATAATAATAATAATAATAATAATAATAATAACACTTATTTCTAAAAAGAAGTGGAGCTCTAACCCTCTGGTTTTTCTTAAAGAAGAAGATAGATAAGAATTGAAGGAGGAGACTAAAGTATTGATTGATTTCCTCCTTCAGTTCTTGTCTATCTTCTTCTTAACTTGGAAAGAACTAAAAGAGGTGCAAACCACTCTGGGAGCAAAATAATCTAAATAATATAGTTCCAACTAAACTACAACCAGTTATGGAAAAAAATAAGTAAGCAAATGCTTAACTGAAAAAAAAATGGAATTGGGATATCACAACCAGGATAAAACTTTGCAAAATGAAGATTTTACCCAAGATTGAGAACCACTGATCTAGAGCAAACTTGCCCAACATAACAAACTTTAAGAAGTGATGGAGTTTGTTTTTTTTTTTTGGGTTAACCTGGCACAAGATGAGTTGTAGTTCACCCACAACCTTATGCATTTTGTACAATTAAGAACGGAATTTTTCAAATAACCCGAGCAACACCGGGTACCTAAACTAATTTTGTATAAAAGGAGGGAACTAACTCGTGGTTCCACTCTGGACTTGTTAGATTGGCCTACCTCCAAAATGGCCTCATCATTATGTATTTATGTATTGAAATAGTTGCTTTGAGTTGTTTCAAAGCAGGAAACATGGCAGCCAAACCCTTAAGGAAACATACTTGCAGTCTTCAGGACCCACGCTCACCACAACCTCAGGTGGCCCACTTACCACTGGAGTCTCCGTTGAGGCTTCCCGAGACGAGCTCGGCTTCCGTTGAATTGCTAGAAGTATGAGACCGGCTGTCCAGCGCCGCCAGCGACTGCAACATGCTCAAGAGACTGTTGGAAGTCGGGAACTGCAGATACTTCTCTGGCACGTAGCCCACGTGGCCTGCCTTGTTTCGTGCCTGCAGGAATTGGGAAGATTGAGATGACTGAACAACCATATTCCTATTCCATCCACTTTACCCAGTCATCACCACCATTGCCTCCCGCCCCGCACATGCCACAATGACAGGAAAAAACCAAATGATACCTTTACCCAATCTTCCATATCTCCATCTTCAATCACTTCCAGAACCTCATGTTCCTCAATGGTTAACTCATCTGGCTGCGAAGCCTGTGGAGTTAACAGTCACAGACATCGGGAGTAAATACTCAATTTCCAAGTAAGAGAAAGTTCCCACAATAGGTGAATTTTACTACTGGGAGGGTCACTGGCCCCAAATCTTTGTCTCAAGGTTACATGTAAAGCACACCAGATTAGTCAGTGAATTCAGGCCAAAGGGCATCTCGTTTTTGGGTCCGCTTCCGTCTGATCTCTCATTTCGTTTACCAGAAAGTTACCTGAAAGGGGAGGGGTGTTTGCAGTTTCAATTGCCAGAGATTTGGCCCATTGGCTACAATGGGAAACTTTAAAGCAGTGGTTCCCAACCTTTGGGCCTCCAGGTATTTTGGACTTCAGCTCGACAGTTCTAACAGCTAATAAGCTGGCTGGGATTTCTGGGGAGTTGAAGTTCAAAACCCCTGGAGGCCCAAAGGTTGGGGACCACTGCTTTAAAGGCTCAAATCCTCAGCCATTTTAAGGCCTATCTTCATGAAACCTATCTCAGTTGTAGACCCCATTTACAACTGTAGGCCTGCCAAGTTTCAAAACAATTCAGCAATATAGTGATTTTTAAGAATTATTTAAAGTTTTAACCATAACATTTTTAAAAAACAAGGCAAACTGCAAGAGATGGTTCTGGGAATGGTAGTCACCGGTTGTGTCCTTTTTTAGCCAATCAGAGTATGGGCATCACCAGGCTTTTTACTGGCTGAGAGACACAATTCAGTAATATAATGATTTTTTAGAACTATTTAAAGTTTCAAACATAACATTTTTGAAAGATAAGGCGAACTGCAAGAGAGGGTTCTGGGAATTGTAGTCACTGGTTGTGTCCATTTTCATCAGAGTATGGAAATCACTAGGCTTTTTATTGGCTGAGAGACACACAGAGAAAAAAACTTCAACTCCCATCATACTCCAAGAGGAAAGAGGACTTAACTCTTTCCAAATATATCGCCTTTCTGAATTTTTTCATTGGTCTTTTTGTCTCTCTATTCCCCTTTCTGTTTTTGGAAATTATACGAAAATGGCCATCCAAAAACGACAAATCTTTTCGTTACCGGGCCCAACTCTACACCAGATCCCTTGGAAACTACCCAGAATGGAAGGGTAATTTTGTGGCCAAATATATCGCCTTTCTGAATTTGTTTCATTGGTCTTTTTGTCTCTCTACTCCCCTTTCTGTTTTTGGAAATTACACAAAAATGGCCATCCGAAAACGACAAATCTTTTCGTTACCGGGACCAACTCTACACCAGATCCCTTGGAAACTACCCAGAATGGAAGGGTAATTTTGTGGCCAAATATATCGCCTTTCTGAATTTGTTTCATTGGTCTTTTTGTCTCTCTATTCCCCTTTCTGTTTTTGGAAATTACACGAAAATGGCCATCCGAAAACGACAAATCTTTTCGTTACCGGGCCCAACTCTACACCAGATCCCTTGGAAACTACCCAGAATGGAAGGGTAGTTTTGTGGACTTAACTCTTTCCAAATATATCGCCTTTCTGAATTTGTTTCATTGGTCTTTTTGTCTCTCTATTCCCCTTTCTGTTTTTGGAAATTACATTAAAATGGCCATCCGAAAACGACAAATCTTTTTGTTATCGGGCCCAACTCTACACCAGATCCCTTGGAAACTACCCAGAATGGAAGGGTAGTTTTGTAGACTTCACTCTTTCCAAATATATCGTCTTTCTGAATTTGTTTCATTGGTCTTTTTGTCTCTCTATTCCCCTTTCTGTTTTTGGAAATTACACGAAAATGGCCATCCAAAAACGACAAATCTTTTTGTTATCGGGCCCAACTCTACACCAGATCCCTTGGAAACTACCCAGAATGGAAGAAGTCCTTCTTCCAATATAGAGCCATAACATTGAGCTAACTTCCCTCCTGGGGCAATGCAGCCTGGAATGGTAAAAGGCATATACATAGGCTTGGAACCACCTTCCTAAGTGATATTTAGCACCTAGGTGAGTCTAACAAGCAAAGAATTAAGAGCTTCAGGAAACCTCAGCCTGACCTAACTTAGGACCTTAACCCTGCATGTGAGTATGGGTCAAATCTGTCCACAACCATTCTTGGTATGCTACCACCCCCTTCGCACAAATGTTCCCAAATGAAAACCTCTGGAATTGTGAACCCAATGGCTTCATCCCAATTCAGACCTAAAATGGGTACCCATTCTTCGCAGCAATATAATGTTTTCTGAACACGAAGGAGACCTCATCAGCACCAAAGCCTGTATTTTCTCACCAGCAAAGCCCTGACATCTTTACGCACCTTGTATGAATATACAACTTTGCAGGTCAACGGATAATTTCTGAGTGTCCCAGAAGGACTGGAACTGCTGTCGTCAAAACCATCCATGCCATCTTCTAGGTCCTCTCCTTCCTCCCTCTCTATATCAACAGTTAGCTAATAGGAGAGAGATTGGAAGAGAATAAGCACTCTGGATGATACAGGTGGCTCCAAAACCAGCTTCATCAATCAAGGTAATTGCTCAGTCAATATCCATTAGAGTAGAAAGGTATCAGTTTCTGATAAGGATAGAATCATAGAGAGTTGCAAGAGATCACAAGGTCTATCCAATCCCATTCTGTCATACAGAAGCACAATCCAAGTACCCCTGACAGATGGCCATCTAGTCTCTACTTAAAATCCTCCAGAGAAGGAGCCAAGCCACCTTCCATCTTATCCATAACCATCTTGAATGTTATTAACAGAGGCCAATCAATGTTCTAACCATGTCTTGATGCAATAGCCCCCATTGGCAAAATGGGTTAAACCCCTGTGCCGGCAAAAGGTCAGTGGTTCGAATCCGGGGAACAGGGTGGGCTCCCGTCTGTTAGCTCCAGCTTCTCATGTGGGAACATGAGAGAAGCCTCCTACAGGATAGTAAGACATCCCAGGGTAATAAGACATCCTTTGGGTAACATCCTTGCAGACAGCCAGTTCTCTCACACCAGAAGCGACTTGAAGTTTCTCAAGTCACTCCTGACATGAAAAAAAAATGCTGATGCAAAATAACATTAAAATTTATATGCATAGAAATGTAGAATCTCTGCTACCATTCAAAGTGGCAATAATTTGTTCACAGAGCCTATATCAGGCACAAACAAACTTGAGGGCCACATGGTGGATCAGAGCAGGGTGCGTGGGCCGGAAGGATAGGGGTTCTCCCCAAGTCCCCTCCGTACCCTTTCCTCCCCTTCCTCTTCTTTTTCAGAGGCAGAAAGTGAAGGAAAGACAGGAAAAGTTTGAATTCCAAAAGCCTTAGACTTGGTCAGGATGAGATGGTGGACGGGAGAGAAAAAGAGTGTATCCATTAGACTCTATATTGCCCACTCCTGATATAGAATCCTAGAATCCTAGAGCTGGAAGAGACCCCCAAGGGCCATCCAGTCCAACCCCTTGCCATGCAGGAAGGCACAATCAAAGCACTCCTGATAGACAGCCTCTGTGGAAAAGCCACCAGAGGAGACTCCACCACACTCCCAGGCAGTCTATGACACTCTCCAGGAAGTTCTTCCTAATCTTTTCAGTGGAATCTCTTTCCCTGCCATTTGAACCCATTGCTCCCTTGTGCCCGGGTCTCTAGAGCAGCAGAAAGTCAGTTTCCCCCTCCTCACTCAATGCGACACCCTTTTAAATCGTGAAACATGGTCCTCATGTTCCCTCTCTACCTTCTCTTCTCCTAGCTAAACATCCCTCAGGAGGAAAGGAGGAAGGAAAAAGGAGAAGGGAGGGAGGAAAAAAGGAAGAGAAGGATGGAAGGAAGGAAAGGGAGAGAGTGAGGGAAGGAAGGAAGGATGGAAGGGAGAAAGAGAGAAAGGGAAGGAGGAAGGAAAAGGGAAGGGAGGAACAAAGGAAGGAAGAGAAGGATGGAAGGAAGGATGGGTGGAAGGAAAGGGAAGGAAGGAAGGAAGGAGAAAGAGAGAAAGGGAAGGAGGAAGGAAAAAGGGAAGGAAGGGAGGAACAGGAAGGAAGAGAAGAATGGAAGGAAGGATGGATGGATGCAAAGGAAGAGAGGGAAGACAAAAGCGAGGGAGGGAGTGAAGGAAGAAAGGAAGGAAGGAGAAAGAGAGAATGGGAAGGAGGAAGGAAAAAGGGAAGGGAGGAACAAAGGAAGGAAGAGAAGGATGGAAGGAAGGATGGATGGAAGGAAAGGGAGAGAAGGAAGGAAGGAAGGAAGGAAGGAAGGAGAAAGAGAGAAAGAGAGAAAGGGAAGGAGGAAGGAAAAAGGGAAGGAAGTGAGGAACAAAGGAAGGAAGAGAAGGATGGAAGGAAGGATGGATGGAAGGAAAGGGAGAGAAGGAAGGAAGGAAGGAAGGAAGGAAGGAAGGAAGGAAGGAAGGAGAAAGAAAGGGAAGGAGGAAGAAAAAGGGAAGGAAGGGAGGAACAAAGGAAGGAAGAGAAGAATGGAAGGAAGGATGGATGGAAGGGAAGAGAGGAAGGGAAGGAAGGAAGGAGAAAGAGAGAAAGGGAAGGAGGAAAAGGGAAGGAAGGATGAAAGAGTAGAAGGGAAGGAAGGAGGAAGGGAGAAAGAGAGAGGGAAGGAAGGGAGGGAAGGAGGAAGGAAAGAGAGAAGGAAGGATGGGATAATGAAGGAGAGGAGGGCCTGAGAAAAGAGCCCAAGGGGCCACATCCAGGCCCCGGACCTGGGTTTGCCCATACCTGGCCTATATCCTGCTCACTGCAAACACGTCACTACAAGCACATGCGAATGTCCTAATATCAACAATGAATTTTTCCCGCTTGCCCGCTTTCCTGGCATGCAAACCACCTTCCTTTCACAAGTTACCACTTGGGTTTACTTGTGCAAACAGGTGTGCAATGGGAAATGGACTTCTGGCATATTTTGACAGCAGGCTAAATATTTAGATTCCAAGCTGTTTGAGGAATGCTGTTCCCTTATTTGCTATTCTCTGATATTGAGAACATGTTCGACGCAGGGCTGTCAAGAGCGGCTTCAAACAAACGATCTGACAAATGCAGATACAAAGAACACAAAGGCACCTGTGCTAAGTGGCATTTTGTAAGGGAAAAGGGAGAAGCAAGTTTTTGGCAGACGGGCATTAAAAATTAATATCCGCCGCACGTGCCCTCGGGAGCCCAGGGACGGCACAAACGGGGCGTAAGAGTGACACACAGCGGGGTGTTTCTATTCCGCAAAGTTGGACCTTTGACTGCTCCCAAATGGGAGGAAGAGGTGCCAGCTTTTGTCTAACTCCAGCCTGGCTGCCAAGGGCATCCGTCGCCAGCCTTTCAGAACCCAGGGCTTGGTGTGTGTGTCAAAAGGGGGAAATGGAAATGAGATTTTATCCTCCCACACTCCGGCATCTGCCAGTTCCTTAGGAGTTGGCACCGAGGACAGACATTGCTCCAAACTGCCGGCATGCTGCATCGGGCAGGGGAAGAGCGTTGGAGAGGCTCCAGGTTTTGCAACAGGAAACCGATAAAAGGAGGGAGCCAAAGGCTGGGGGCGGGAAGGCAGCTCCGAGGAATGAAACGCATCCTTCTTCTGGTCTCTGCCTCAATGGAAAGAAATGCATCCGTGCAGTTCTGCATCTTCCTTTGGTCTTGCTCCTGCTCCCATCCTTCTTCCAAAAGGTAGAGAAGCCACTCTTTAGCGGCAGGAGGCTGGCTCCCACAATGTCTTTCATGGGAATCACAACAAACACTGCCAGCACAGGGAACTCATAAAATCTAGACCTCCATTTGCAATTCTAATTCCAATTTCATCTGTGGAAACAAAGCCCATGGGGAGGAGCTGTAAAACACAAGTCCCTGGGATTTTAAGAGCCTTTTTAGGGGTCCCCAGACTGGTCGATAGCACCTCTTCCGTACAAAGACGTAGTGGTGGAGGTTCCTTCTCTGGAGGCTGGATGGACATCTGTGGGGGGTGCTTTGAATGCAATTTTCCTGCTTCTTGGCAGAATGGGGTTGGAATGGATGGCCAACCAGGTCTCTTTCAACCCTAGGATTCTATGGGAAGCTGGAGCTGGCAGATGGGAGCTCACCCCTTCTCGCGGATTCGAAATGCCCATCTTCAGATCAGCAGTTCAGCCAGCACAAAGGTGAGTAATCTGGCTGCCTCCCGCTGGACTAATTGAAGTTTCTGAACAGTCTTCAAAAGCAACCCCATGTAGAGTGCATTGCAGTAATCTATCCGGGATGTAACAAGAGCGTGGACCACTGTGGCCAGATCTCCTCCATTCACAGAGAGAAAACCAGAGCTCAACAGAAGAGGTCCAAGCACTGCAGGGAATAAACAAGGCTCTGGATTATAGAATCATAGAATCCTAGAGTTGGAAGAGACCTCATGGGCCATCCAGTCCAACCCCATTCTGCCAAGAAGCAGGAATATTGCAGTCAAAGCACCCCTGACAGATGGCCATCCAGCCTCTATTTAAAAGCTTCCAAAGAAGGAGCCTCCACCACACTCCTGGGTGGAGAGTTCCACTGGTGAACGGCTCTCACAGTCAGGAAGTTCTTCCTCATGTTCAGATGGAATCTCCTCTCTTGTAGTTTGAAGCCATGGTTCCATTGGGTCCTAGTCTGCAGGGAAGCAGAAAACAAGCTTGCTCCCTCCTCCCTGTGGCTTCCTCTCACATATTTATCCATGGCTATCATATCCCCTCTCAGCCTTCTCTTCTTTAGGCTAAACATGCCCAGCTCCTTAAGCCGCTCTTCATAGGGCTTGTACTCCAGACCTTGGATCATTTTAGTCGCCCTCCTCTGGACACATTCCAGCTTGTCAATATCTCTCTTGAATTGTGGTGCCCAGAATTGGACACAATATTCCAGGTGTGGTCTAACCAAAGCGGAATAGAGCATGGGTAGCATTACTTCCCTAGATCTAGACACATTCTATGAAATAACAAAATTCTGTGTTGTTGAAGGCTTTCATGGCTAGAATCAATGTATTGTTGTGAGTTTTCCGGGCTGTATGGACATGTTCCAGAAGCATTCTCTCCTGATGTTTCCCTTGATGTGTGGTAAGAACACTTTTCTTCTGGGTATACTCTCGTGGCTAGTTCTTGGCCTTGCAAGTCTTCCGATGTTCCTGGTGGAGTCTCCATTGGTCTGTAAAGCCCAGTTTAGGTGGTTTCTACACAGAGAAGCCATTGAAATCCACAAGCGTGTGGACAATTTCAACAGAAAGGAGGAAACCATGAAAATGAACAAAACCTGGCTACCAGTATTTAAAAAAACTCCAAAATCAGGACAGTAAATAAAGAGCAACACTCAAGAAGCAGGGGAATTCCAGACAAGAATCAACCAGGGCTGGCTAACACCTCCCAAAAAAAGATTCCCCCAGCCTGGCCTTGAAACTGCAGGCCATTAAATGCTAATCAAGGTGGCTAATTGCAGCCTTCACACCTCCTCTAACAGAGAAGAGTTTTTTCTCCCAC